AAAGGCTGAATTTATTTTGATCAAAAATCTAGTTGAAATAGGATTACACTTTAAAATAACTTTTCCATTTTAATCTATTTTAAAAAGTAATGTATTCCTGTGATGGCAAAGCTGAATTTTCAGCAGTCATTATTCAAGTTTTCAGTGTCACGTCATCCTTTAGAAACCATTGTAATATGCTGATTTGCTGCTCATTTCTTTTTATTATCAATTTTGAAAACAGTATTTTTGTAAAAACTGTGATGCATTCTTTAATGAATAGAAAGTTCAAATAGAAAACATTTCTACCATTATAAATGTTTACTGTGCGTACGTATGTGTGTGTGTGCGTGTGTATACATGCGTGTGTGTGTGTACCTGGTATTTATCACGTTATGGGGACCAAATGCCCCCCATAAAGATAGTAATACCAGTAAACTGTTCACTTGTGGGGACATTTTTAGGTCCCCATGAGAAAACAAGCTTATAAATCATACAGAATGAAGTTTTTTGAAAATCTAAAAATGCAGAAAGTTTCTTGTGAGGGGTAGGTTTAGGTGTAGGATTGGTGTAGGACGACAGAAAATACAGTTTGTACAGTTTAAAAACTATTACTGTACAAACTGGAACGATTACCGGTTTCACGATAAATCACGATAAAATGCCCTGACGGTTAGTACCTATGGAATGTCCCCATAAAACATGGGAACACAACATATATGTGTGTGTGTATAGAGCTTGGTGAAAGATCTCATAGCAGAAAAGCGTGAACATTTGGTTTAAAATTATTAAATAAATGAGAACATTAGTTAAACATAATTATCTCTAATTGCGACCAATCCCTATTCTATATCACATGGCTGCAAAGTGTTTTAAAAATGACGACAAACTGCAATGAACATCACATACAAGATTCATCCAATCAGAGTCTTTTTGGAATTCATATGGTGGAATCATAACCCACTTGTCTACATATACAACTGCTGATTCACTCAGATTTACTAATGCACCTTTATTCTTCTAATTGGGCTGAGTCTGATCAGACTTGCCCAGCTGTGAGTCTCTAGCCTACTATGGGCTTAAGCCTCTATTTATAAACAATCATAATGCTGACATGATATCTGTGTGCTATCATCTTAAACCACAGTCCAAGTGCAGAAATGTGTTCAGAATTAGTCACGAACAAAAGAAATCATGGAAATGGACATGATTGCGCAATTCAGGTTGTCTGTGTGCAATGATTAAAAGAGCAAATCTTTTACCTGGGTAAACAATGTAAAGAATGGCAGTGGTTTGACCCTGACCCCTAAAAAAATTTCTTAACTTTTGATGTGAGACCCCCTTAAGCAACCTGTGTGGTCTTCTAAGTGCACTTCAAATAGACTCAGAAATTTTTGAGTGCTGCAGTGCGGGCTAAGAAAAAACTGAAGGTCTGAACAAGTGCTCTTAATGAAACCTATACCAAAGACAACAACAAAATCTATAATAATACACACAAATAATGTCTTTCCACCCATCCTAGAGCTCTAAAGAGCATTTTTCAATGCCTACCATCATTCATCAACAATCATACCATTTTTTATTCACAATAAATCCAAACAATAAGTTACTACAGTTAGTGAAATAACTATAAATTTAGAATGTACAGTAATTTTTTTAAACTGTAGAATCTTATAAAATGTTACCAGAGTTTTACTGCCCTAGCAAGTATTTTATTTGGCAGAAACCATGGATATCATGGTCCAATACAGTCAGAGAGAATCCCAAATCTTACCTGGATGAAGAAATGGAAAAGTCTCCACCATCCAACAGCCTGATTTTGCAGAAAAGCATCCCGTTCACAAACGGCACAGCCGTGAGCTCCTCCAGGGTGAAGTGTATCTGAAACTTGAACTTCTTCTTTTTCATTAAAAACGCCATATTCTTTTGAGACTGGACTTTGGATGTTTGAAGGCAGAGGTAGATGAAGACAGGGAGATGGCTGCAGTTGTTTTTCAATCTGGTGCTTGGAAGTCCTTCTCAATGTATGTGCTTTGGTTCAGCATCTCTGAGAGGACTGAGGTTGTCCAGAAGAACCTAGGGTGTAAAACTCACTCTTAGACAGACTGGTCAGACAGGCTCTATACCAAGTAAACACTAAAAAGTATATCATAACTTACCTTAAAACCAACACAGGGGCAGCACTGCGGGAACGCTACAGTCTCTACAGAAAAGCAAACACATTCCCTGGAGAGTTAGTTACCTTGAAGAAGTCCATTATATTCAGGTGTAAAGATCCCTGGTGCTCCACTGGCACCATTCATTTAATCATGGAGAAATATTGTATGATTTTTGAGAGTTACTGACAATATCTAGCGAAATGACCATCATTTTTTCACTCTAATAATCGAAAGTAGTCGCCTGTTGTTTCCAATATCGTAACTGAAAATTTGAATAGAGACAGTTGAATACTTACGTCGATGAAGAGTTTTCATATGGCAGCCAGGATGGATAGAAATCACTGGACGGAACAATTCAGAAAACGACCCATAATAGAATTAACTTACTCGTATCGAAATCAACTGTTTAACGTTGAGTCAAAGGTAGACTGACTGCTGGGTTGAAACTGTCTAGCTCTTTAGTGAACTGAACTCTAGTAACGTTAAGCGCCGCCTCCATGGACGCGTGGATTTCCCTAAATACAGCTGAGCAATTCACTGAGGGCGTTCGAAACTCCCGTTACATCCACAAGAACGCAACAGTACTCCAGACTTTACTGTTAAAAGAAAAACATTCAGAGTTCAGGCGCGTTGTTTAGCTTGGCTATTATGTAGGTTGCGATACTGGCTTAAGAGATTAATCAGCAACGTTACCATAAGTACCATCAGCGGTTTCTAGGGAGGCAGAAAACAAACGTTCGTGTTGTCAAGGAGAATCACTAACTTGGAGAATAAAGAGGACTTCGCGCGTATGTGTTGGAGCAGAAAATCGTTGCTTTGGATTTGTTGGGAATGTAGCGCCATCTCGTGGCCGGATACTTGCTAGTTTATTAGAAATGCATATACAAAAACAGTGGTTTTCAGAAGTAAAATATAATATGTAAATCGTTAAATGTTACACTTCGACTAATTTTAAAGGCTTCTCATTTGTAGATTAATTATTTTCTTTGTAGTTAGTTCGTTTTGTATTTCAATTCTTTGTTAAACAGATACATTAATAAAAATATTAAGACACTCATCTGTTCTAGTAATAAACTCATTACTAACACTATTATTATTACTTCTACTACTAGGCCTACTATTAATTATTATTATATTTTTAAGATCTTAAGCAGTGACTCAAAGCAAATCGAATTTGTGATTACTTTTAACTATGTGCACACTGTTTTGTTCGAGTATGGTGTACTTGCAATTATAATGTCATATGGCCTATTTATATTTGCATACTGTTGTAATGTCTTTGTGTTACCTAGGGACTATATTTATGGATATAAATTAGCAATGGTATTATAATGCAGCATGTTTACATTTGTATTTTTATCATGTTCATTAATGTGCATTATCCCAATTAAATAAATGTGCCAAAATGTAGACAAATTGTTCCTTCACTTCAGACCAAACAAAGTAAGAAAAAAACTTTAATGAGTGCATCATTATTTAAAAAAATTAAACCATGTTTAGAGGTTCTGTGTATAATTGTAAGATGTGATGTGAACTTTTTAAAAGGCAGTGTGCAAATTAAACATCTTTATGCTGAGCTGTAACCACCACTATAAAACGCTAAGGGGAACTTGATTTGTGGATTTGTAAAATGTAGCTGTATTCAAAACAACCTGCAAGGTTATTGCAGGCTGAGGGGAACTTGGATTTTTCAGAACAATTAAAAAATACAAGATTTTTATTTTTTTTTTAGTTCACTTACAGGGATTGTTTGCTGAGTCATAGCTGCATGACCAAAATATAAAAGTATGTGCAGTTTTATGAGTTCACATTCACAAGGGAAGACACACTAGCAGTACTCACTGTGGAGATATAGGGTAAATCATTATAGTATATAGCTTGGTGTAGACGGGAACAGACAAGCTCTGTGTAAGTCATTAAGTCAGTGCTAAATTATTGTCTACTCAGTAGGTCTTCTGGAAGGCAACAAATGTGCAGCCTTGTCACACTGTAATTATTTAATTCCTGTAAATTGCATGGAAGTTAACTAGAAAAGTTTGTTTATTCAAAAACACAGAGTTGTTTATGCATAAAACATTCATAAGAATTGTCTTTGTGAAACTGGTTACTTCACAGATACCCTACATCATTGCAAACTGATTGCAAATGAAAGTTCATATTACGAAGTTTAACAAATTCTGACTTTCATGCTGCTTGCAATATCAGAGTTTGCTTTTGTATAAATTGGTTAAGTGCCTTTTAAAGAACATCAAATCCTAATTTGAAGAGCAGAAAACTGCATTCTATTATTTCCCCAGCAGGTGTCTCTCTTAAGTAAATTTTTGAATGTGATCACTGTGAGGAGGACCTTGAGGTAGGATTCTGAGTGACAAACAGTTGTACTACCTACTGGCATATTTAATAGTAGGCTACCAATGTAGAATTTAACAGCATAATTGTCTGACATGCACATAAATCTGGAATTTACACACATACAAGCCATAGACTGTATAAAAAGCAGAATCTTACAAATCTGCATTAATTGAGCATTCCTGTTCATTATTCGCAGCTACTCGTTTTATTTATATCTAAAAAATATATCTTAAAATATATATTTTTTATTTTCATTCTAATAATTCTAAGTAATAATGCTACTAATAATAGTAACAACAACAATTATTAGTATTTTTATGAACTATAAAAAAGTGGAAAGGACCAGAACTATTGGGGCGTGACGAGAAGACAATTTATATTAATGTGATTGGTAACTTCAAGTGTCCATCACTGACATCATTAGTCCCGCCCACTTCAAAGCCCCTCCCCCCAGTTACTCATTTCCTGTTGAACACGAGATTCCTCCCGCCCAACACCGGCGTTCTCGTTGCATCAGCTGTCATTCAGACCGCCAATTCAAACCGGATTACCATTGGAAATTCACAAACTCAAGAATATATATTCGGAACGAGATTCAAAGCGATGTATATGTCGGAAGACGCCGATTTGCCTGCGCTTTTTAGGATACTAGAATCCGGAGTACCGGTGGGACGTCCTTCCAGCTCATCACTATGAGCTCTGAATGCCGCTGTAGCGAGTGAATGCGCGATCAGTTTTGAACCTTAAACCAGAACATATCACACGAACTGTTGAAGTAAAGAGGCTCAAAAGCAATAGATAACACTTTAGACGTATTCGGAAGCTTATCTCAAAGCACATCTGTCACGCATCCTGACTGGAGAACACACGCGCCGCTCCGATCGCGTGACTCTCGCTCCCCACGCGCTCATACACAGACAGACTTTAAATTGCTGGAGTTCAGTGACATGCATCAACGGGGATCGTTCGTCTCTCCGTTGCTCAGCGGTGTTTTCTGCCAGTGCCGCTCGGAGGAGTATCAGGGCTCGGACCCCGGTGGAGGTGGTCGGACTCTGGGCTCCGCGACATCAATATCCGAGCACCGCCATGATGAGTCCTGCGACTCCCCGCATCACTGCCCGGTGTGCGGCGGACCCGAGCAGGAGCATCGGCTCAAGGTGCTCTTCCAGATCCTGGATGTCAACGGAGACGGAGGCATCTGTGTCAACGACCTGACCATCGGACTGAAAAAGCTGGGGGTCCATTGCACAGAACATGAACTCAAGGTGAGTTATCCACTTTACACAATTGAGTTATCCCACTATAATAGGTCTTTATACTGGGATTACAGGTCAGATCACACTGATAGAGAGGACAGATTTAGGAAGGACTCCGTTCAACTTATTTTGTTTGTGCATCACTATTTATTAAACCCCAGAAGTACAAGTTATGTATTTAACTGCTATTGGCTTCTTACTTTCACAGCTCTTGTGTGGGGTTACTCACTAAACCAGGTGATTTGAGTGACATTTGCTTAACACAGTGCCACAAATGCCATCTGTGCCTTTCCTTTCTCTGCACTGTGTGAAGAGGTTTTTTCCTAGAAAGGTTTACAGTTGTTTTCAGCGTGTTTGATGTAGACATATGTCTAAAAAGAACTACATTGTTGGGTGAACACTGGCAATGCTTATGTGGCATGATAGGAATTGGATTTTTTGTAGCATCTTCTATTTTGAGGCAGGTGTGTGGGTTTCTGTCCACCCAAAATATACATTTAACGTGGCAAATTGAGCTTAATTTCAGGTACGAAGAAGCTGTTCTCCTTATTTAGCTAGAACAATTATTTTAATATTATATATATATATTTGTGTGTGTGTTTAAATTCATTTATATTATTATTATTATTTATATTGTTTTCTTTTTTTGTAATTTTATTTACATGCACATATATACTGTATATATATGTATGTGTATATATATATAACAGTTATCAGAGAAATATACATTATACTGTAGTTTATGTATATATAGAGAGAGAATTATTGAGAAATAACACACCTATTGAGAAATGTGTGTTATTTCTCAAAAGGTTACTTGAATGTTTTTCTTTGCTTTGCCTCAGATATGCTAAGCATTATAGAGGATGCCCATATACAGGCATGTTCTTTTCTAATCAGAGTTCAGTATAATTTTCACTATCATGTTTTTTAGCTATGAATCTAGACTAGAATGTAACTGCCCAAAGAAGAAGGAAATGCGTAACTAGACAAGAGTCTCTCGAGAACACACAGAGCAATATAATTAATAAGCACAAACAAGAAGTTGCTGTTGGGAAATTCACAGTGCGGTAAGAATGTACACAACCTGCTTTGAGTGATCATAATCTGTTAAAACGAAATAGAAATCTGGGGAATGTGAAAGTGGAAGAAAAGGTTTCACTTTTATTACTTCAGGGGTTACAATAAGTTATACAACTACTTCATATTAATTAGCCTGAGCTAACTGTTGGAAAAGCATATCAGGGAATGGGATCTTGGATCCTGATCACCTGGAATGTGGGCTGCTTCTGTAGGCGAGTCATGAGACCTCATGAGGAGTTTCAGAGATGGTTTACTCATTGGCTTATAATGAGGACAGACATGTTTTGCATACCACACTACAGATAGTTTCATCTCTGGGTGTGTTTTACAAGCTTTTGACTAGGTTTCCTTAAGGTCAAACACTTTTTTGGATAGCGGCAGTCTTGGACAAAAGCCTGGCTGCAGAATTTTGCGCATCAAGTATTCCTTTGTTTGCCAACTAACAAAAGCACTTCGAACAAAACCGAAAGTTCCTCTCTAGTGGACTATAGCTGAGATTTGTTGGCACTGCTTAAATAGACCAGTAACTGTGCTATTACATGTTTAATTATGAAGGTCAAAAGATTTTGCTGCTTAATTCACAACCTCTCATCGTGATGAATGACATCTGCTGCTTCAATTACGGAGGGCAAAAATAACTTACTGGCACTTTCATAATCAAAGGTGGATTGCACTTGTGGATACTTGAACTTGATTTGCATGCTGGACTTGCAAATGCAGTGAGAAAATAAATGCAAATGCAGTGCAGGACCTGCTCGGATGATTTTCTATTCAAAAACACTCAAAAATAGTTTGTTACATAAGAAGCTACAGGTCTTTAAATGTTGTATGAATGGGCATGTGCAGAAAGGTTTTTAATTATAAGAGTTTTTAAATGAATCTGTAAATGGGTTAATGGAACAGTATATGTAGACACTTTTTACTTAAATTCAGCCTTTCTTTTCTTTTGACAATAGTGTGTGCATCTTAGCTGGCTTTCACTGAACCTGACAGAATCATACTTTTCTGGCATTTGCTCTTAAACACCCCATTAACTTCACTGCTTTATAGTCTATATCGGCTTCATTGGGTTACAGACTGTGAATGAAGCTTATCGCACAGTAACTGCTTAAAATTCAAGCAGAATGACGTCAATCCTGCCACATATAGAGCTATCCAATTCCTCCCACATCAGAAAATCATTCCCTCAGTGGCTTATTACATTAGTCTGCTAGAAACCCTGCTAATATCGAACATCAGTAGCTAATCCTCTCCTTTTAGAAAAATATTGAGTTTTATGTTCTGTTTAAAAATGTACATGCATGTCTCTTTTTGCGTTTATTTTTTTCTTTCTTTCTCTTAAATGTATTTTTTGTTTTATATTTTTAATTTGGTGCAGTAATAGCAAGCAGCCAAGACCCTTCATCATGTTCAAAGGGCTGGGTGAATAATTTAGGATCTCTCTAACGTCACATATTAATTTGCTTAGGAGTACAAGGGCCCCCTGGAGAACAGGGGAACCACTACACTAAGGTACATTTTGGTACCTGTGACGTGTACATTTAAAGGCACCTGAACCTAATATTAGGCTACATATTAGAGAATAATTTCAAACAAAGATTTGACAGTGTAGATGCTACAGTATGACTTTCTATTACAATATAACTTTGCAATATAACTTCTTATATCTTTAATATAACAAAAAAATGCTATACAGATAAATATGACTTCAAGGCAGGAGCACGAGTCAGTATTGTGCGTTTAATCGAATGGCCTGTAGAGCAGTCTGTTTCTCACTTGCTCATTTTATATACTGCATATGCATATAATCATATACATGCATACCATTTGCATTCCACTGTAAATTGTAAGAAGCGTAGGTTCCTGAGATCTGCATATTGTTCTGTGAAATAAATTGCGGTGCAGCTGTAGTTCAGTCTAATCAATAGAAAGTGATTCTGCTCAAATAAGCTGTATTGAATCGTGTCATGCGCAAGTAAAATAAGGGAGGAAGGATATAAAAAAGGCCCTGCTGTGCATACCCAGATGCATTTGCAAAGAAGGAATGGAACCACAACAAGCTGAATGAATGAATGAGGTAGATTTGTGTAGGTGAGTATTGCAGTGTTAGAAATGCATGGAATCACCCTGGAGGCGTTACCAGGGAGATCCTGATGATTCAGTAGGTCTTAAAAAAGCACAGGGCAGAAAAAACAGTCAGCAGAATTTCCTTCCTGCTGGGTGAGAAAGAGATCACTCCATAAGATGGCTGTATTTTATCCTCTGATTGGCTGCCTGTGCTTTGTCAGACAGGGGCAGCCAGTGTGGAGTGCTCTGATTGGCTGAGGCACAGCTGCAGTGAGGTTGCAGCTTTTTTCCCTGCATCACTTTTTGCCGGCTATAGATGCAGACAACCTGCAGCAGCTTGTAGGTGCCTAGAAATACTAACACTTAAAAAGTGGGATCGCTTTTAGAAATCGATTCATGCAGCTGTAGTTCAGTCTAATCAATAGAAAGTGATTCTGTTCAAATAAGCTGTATTGAATCTTGTCATTCGCAAGTAAAATAAGGGAGGAAGGATATAAAAAATGAACATGTCCTGCTGTGCATACCCAGATGCATTTGCAACGAAGGAATGGAACCACAACAAGCTGAATGAATGAATGAGGTAGATTTGTGTAGGTGAGTATTGCAGTGTTAGAAATGCATGGAATCACCCTGGAGGCGTTACCAGGGAGATCCTGATGATTCAGTAGGTCTTAAAAAAGCACAGGGCAGAAAAAACAGTCAGCAGAATTTCCTCATTGCTGGGTGAGAAAGAGATCACTCCATAAGATGGCTGTATTTTATCCTCTGATTGGCTGCCTGTGCTTTGTCAGACAGGGGCAGCCAGTGTGGAGTGCTCTGATTGGCTGAGGCACAGCTGCAGTGAGGTTGCAGCTTTTTTCACTGCATCACTTTTTGCCGGCTCTGTGATGCAGCCAACCTGCAGCAGCTTGTAGATCCCAAGAAATACTAGCGCTTAAAACATGGAATCACTTTTAAAAACGGATTCATTGTGAGGATTTCAGCTTCTTCCAGTTAAGTTGTCTTTTTCATGTTTTAAGCTACTGTGCAGTGTGTCATAGTTGTGGAGTGATGTCACTTGAAGAGTGAATGACTTTTTCTTCATCTTTTTGTGTGTTGTTGCGCTCAACTTTCATGTTTTGGGAAAGTTACCTGGACGGTTTGTTTTGGAAAAATGCTCTAAGTTTGCAATGATTTTGAGGCGATTATGAGAGCGGGTTAATTGGAACTGGTCATTCACTGCATTTCAAAGTTTTTTGACTTGGTCACCGGGTTACTGTGGAAACGCTGTTGGATATGCCAGTAAGCTTTGGAAATTGTGTGGCAGTGTCCCCATCTGCCCTCATCCTCCTGGCCTCACATATGACTGCCTGAGCAGTTTCTCTCTATACGCACATACAACATCTGTAGACGTAGTTCTTGAGAAGACCAAGTCAAAACTCAAGTACACAAACAGACTTGGAGCATCTTTATGAAGATGCTCAAGGAATTTTGGTCATCCCTGTCCCAGTGGCTTCTGGGAGTAACAGCGTGCCAACATGATACCGCAGGGCCACCTGACGGACTAAAGGAACGAAACTTAGAAAATGCTGCAAAAAAGGAAGGCCAGAGGGAACCGGACACAAAGGCAGATTCAGTCGGTCAAGAAAAGAGCACAGTATCTCCAAAGAAAACTACAGTGCTGATTATGGTGGCGCCTCCTACGGATCTTCAGAAGGTATTGCAGAGAGAATTGCCACATTAAACAGAAACATTTGTTGAAAGGCTTTAAAGTTGCTTATGCATTGATATTTTTGCTTTTTGGTTTCTGAGAGGAATACAATAACAACTGAACTGCTGCACTTTATTTCATATTTTGATTCTTGAAGTCTTTTCAGCTTAGATCTTCCAAAGACTATAGAATACCCAAGACGTGTCACTCGTATAGTTTTGAATGGGGAAAAATGCAACGCTCAATATGGCCACTCAATCGCAGGAAGCCCCGCCTTCTGAATGAAGGAGCCAATCGCTAATCGGTAAAGTCAGCGCGTCACTGCAGCTGCCGTTAGATCTTCCAAAACTGAGCTATGAGTGATATTTCACATCTCATTATTTGCATATGGAAAATGAGTGAAATGCAAATTTTTAAATCAAATTGGCTTCATGTGATCTAGGCGTCTGAGAAAGGCCTATTTTAGTAAAATAATTTAAGATATTACAACAGATATCTGCACATGATCTGAAATTGAGTCAGTATGGTGGTTAAAAAGGAGCAGGAAAAGTTCTATAATCCCATTTGTTTGTGTTTTTGTTATATACTCTCAGAAAAAAATGGTACTAAAGCTGTCACTGGGTCGTTACTTTTTCAAAAGGTACACTTTTGTATCTTATTGACCTCTTAAGGGTGAATATTGGTACTTTAAAGGTATATATATCAGTACCTAAATGGTACACATTAGTAATTTTTTGAAAAGGCACCATCCCAGTGACCGCTTTTGACAAGCAGCTTTTAACAGACAAACAGCAGATAGTCAGCAATGAATTGGTGTGAATTTTTTTAGACTTCTGCAAATTAGACATGTCCCACGCATTTGAATGTTTCTCTCTCCTCCCCCAAACTGTTGCTTCACATCTTTAGTGGGTTGCAGACAGTCTTGCTCTCTAAATATTATTATTGTATAGTCAGGCCCAATGTCGGAAACCTGGTCAGACTCATTAGGGAATGATCACATGCTAGTGACAGGATTAGACCGCTTTACATTGTGAATGATCAGATTCAGTTATCTGTTATCTAGGGACAAACAAGATTAATCACATACTGAGCGGTATAACTGTTGTTGTTTCATGTTTTATCCTGACTACCAATTTCACTAATTAGTTGTTGCTGAATTGACCCTTTGCTAAGCCCTTGGTTACTGTTGCTAGATTTGACAAGCTTTACTGATGTCTCATAGGACTGCATTGGAGATTTTTATGAGTGGCACAATTTTTGCATTGAAAGTGGTAAGTAATGTTATGGGAGCTGAAATTTCACAATTTATTTTTCTTTTCTCTTTAATAAAAGGTTGAATTAGATGAGTTATCTTTTTTTAAGTAGTCGAATAAGATGCTGTGTGCTTTCCTTATTTTAATTATATGAATATTCCAGAAACCTGCAGTTGCATGGCTGTCAATCTTTAAGACAGATACTTCGGTAAGCTTGTAAGAAGGTGATGCTGTATATGACGTGAGCCAATTACATAGCAGTGTTCGCAGTACAAGCCTCGAAACGGGAGGGATTTATACGTCCCCTAATCACATGTGACAGAAATACCAGCGTTACGGTCTTGATAGCTTCAAGAACAGACGAGAGCCGTGTACATATGTTTCTTTCTTACATTGCCTTCAAGTTTTTAGTTTTATTGATTTCTTAATTTTTTTTTTAGCTGAACATGTTGTGTTTGTGTCTTTACGTGCCTGTCCATATCTCAGAACGGATAGAATTACAGTATTTTGAGTCCGATAGTTTACCGGCGCAGTTGAAGTCTCTTTTCAAGTTGAGTTTATTTCTTCCATCACAAGAGTTCGATTCATACAGGAATTGGCGAAAGGTATGTCATCTGTATTATTATGTTAAAAACGATTGTGTAGTGTGTGGAATGTTTTATTTTGTATATTAATTTTTAACGTTTAGTAGTTTTATGTGATTTTGTCACTTTTATTTGTTTTTTTATTTACGTATTGCATTAATTAATTTTTATTTTAGTTTTAATTTATTAATTTTAGTACTTCACTAATTTTACTAATTTAATACATATTTATTTCAGTTGCCAATGCACCATTTCTAATTTTCATTTATTCAGTTTTTACGTTTTTTAATCATATTTATATTTTATTTAATTTCAGATTTATTTCAGTTACTAAAAATGATTGTTAATAGTTTTAGGTTGCTTTTGGTTAACAACACTGGTCTCAAATGTAATCCGTGGGTTTTGTGATTTAAAGAAATTGAAGAAAATCAGTGTTGTTTTAGATGGTCAAAAAGTTCTTGTGAACCAAGAGCTCTGTGTTCTGCCCATTCATGTCAGAATTTGTAATGGGATGAATCCGTTTAATCCAGATTATTTGACTTCCGTGTTTGAACTGCTTTCAGAATCCCTTCCTGTGTCCTTCACAGAGTTACAGCTCACTTTCATTTTTATGGCTAAATGACTTAGACATCAAGTGACTTTTCTTTTTTTTTTTTCAGAAAATGCCAATAAGTAGTAATTGTAAACCAAAACAACTTTATTATGAACACTATAAAATGTAGTATTCAGATTGCAAGTATTTCTTTCTGTCTTTCATCTGATTCTCCAGATTTTTTATATTTGAAAATGACTGCATTGTCAACTTCAGAAGGTTAACAATGTTCTCTGACTTCTTCTTGGTGGTATAGATTTAATGAGCACAGGGCCCATAAAAAAAGCACTTTATTTGTGGATTATATGGGCTCGTGACTGGATTTTAAGCTATTGTAGCTCATGTAGTTGTGAATTTTAGTTTATTAAAGGCAGGGTATGTGATTTTTCAAAAACACTTTAGAGAACTGATTCGGGCCGAATCGCAAAACAAACTTGTAGCAGGGCCCATAAAAAAAGCACTTTATTTGTGGATTATATGGGCTCGTGACTGGATTTTAAGATATTGTAGCTCATGTAGTTGTGAATTTTAGTTTATTAAGACACTTTTTCTTTGTTTTTACTAAGGTGTTATTATGCACAAGTCCATAATCTCATAATGGACAGCAACATAAAACAAATGATCTGACTCCGTGATCTGGTTTTCAGTGGCACATTACGAAATGCTGATGTCACTGGGTGGGTGTTCAGTTTAGTTTTTTTGCTTGTGGTTGAAAAAGTGCAGTAGTGGACAGACCAGTAATTTTGTCACACACTGTCAGAGCAACATCAGCCAGGAATCACGCTATGGGCCTGATTTGCTATTAAAACTGGAAACACATTTGCTTTGTTTGTGTCTTTCCAGAACACTTCAGGTTAATGATTAATTCATCTTCTCCATCCCTTTCCATTAGCTTCAATTATACACTGCTCAATGGTTCAGACAGCTTATGTCCTAAAGGTCAAGCGTTGTCAGGATGGGCTTCATAAAGCTGATGCTCATGAGAATGTTCAGCATGGTCCTATCAATACTCTCTTCAACAAACAAAGACCATATGTCTGTCCCTAGTGGCCCATTAGCTCAACACCCCGAACGGCACCAGCTCACTGACCTCAAAAATGACCTGGCTTGATTCTGTCCTCAGGTTTTGATGTTGATTCCAGCGTGTATGTGTTTCAGAAAATCGTCAAGGCTGGAGACAAAGACTTGGATGGTCAGTTGGACTTTGAGGAGTTTGTGCACTACCTGAGGGACCATGAGAAGAAACTGAGGCTGGTCTTCAAGAGCCTTGACAAAAAGAACGATGGTAAGTATGTTAGTAGTGTATTGGTGAACTATTACGAGCGTTGTCTTGAATTATAGGTGTTTTAGTCTCTTTAATGCTCATTTTGTCGTCTTTCTTTTTGTCTTATGTCATATGAAGTCATATTAAGGCCACCTTTGGAAAATCACGTTTCCTTTTAAAACTGCAGGTCGCATAGATTCACAGGAGATCATGCAGTCACTAAGAGACCTCGGGGTTCATATATCTGAGGAACAGGCTGAAAAGATCCTCAAGAGGTAATTTGTTTTATTGATTGTATCTGTCCAACCCCCTTCATTCTCTTTAGCCTTTTATTCACAGCTAATAATTCAGACCTGACTGGGAACCCTCGCCTCAAAACAGCACGTGTTATACAACCCGTCTCCTGGTTCTGATTTTTCAGCATGTTTATTTGACATTCTTTGACGAGCCAATACCCAAGAGTTTTTTAGAGCTCATTTTAGAGCTCCTAAAAGAAACCAGAATCACATATACAAACTAATTGCAGCACATACAATAATAAAAGTTATTTTTTATTTTCCATCTGTGTGTAAATGTCTTTGGTCGTACGCGTTCTGTCTCTGTTTCTTTATCACTCTCTCCTTCTTGTGATCCCACCCCCACTCTCTCTCTCTGCTCATCTTATCAGAATAAGGAGGGGTTATATATGTGCCTCTATAATGTAGTAAGTAGTGGTCTTATCCCTGCATGTTTGCCTTGCTCTGCTTTTTCATTTCATCTGCTGTTTCATCTGTGCTGTTTTCATTTTGCATTTTTGAGGTAATTTTTTTTCTCTCTCTCTCAGAAGCTATTTTGTCTCATGTGGGTAGTGCTTTGGAAATATTAAGTAAGCTAATGATGCCTATATTTTAGGATTTTTTGACAAATAACAACTAAACTCTTAGCAAAAGAAAGCTTTCGTAAATTACTTTATTAAAGAAGAATTCTAAATGCGATAGATCTGAAATGCTGAAACCAGGGACATTTTTGCATGTGAATAATTTTTATTTTCTAGCTGCTTGACTGTACATGATTAATTTCAGTAGAGGTTTTGCAAATCTAAGCCGTTTTTTATGGAAGTGTGTATACATTTTAGAAAGTGTAAGCTCAGCTGGTCTTTTTTTTAAATAAGAAGCTGCTACCCAAAGCCAAAGAAGTTCCTGACATATTTAGTTTTGGTCTCTTTTTGTCTTTTAATTTGAACAGTATGGATAAAAACGGTACGATGACGATTGATTGGAATGAATGGAGAGATTACCATCTGCTTCATCCTGCTGACAACATTCCTGAAATCATCCTCTACTGGAAACACTCTACGGTAAAACTAAACCACACCATCCTGCCATGTGCCTTACAGTTCAAAGTTTCCAGCTTTGCTTTTAGCGCCAACTTTCTCTCATTGAGGGGGTTATGGTGCTTTTTACAGTCTTTGTATTCTGTGTTAATTGCATTCACCACACATCTCATTTAAACTGGTGATGTGCTGCCACCTCAGTCATTCAGTCCTTCTAAGCCCACTTAGTTAAATTTGTTTTCTTGCACTTGAAATACTCCTGAATGGGACAAAAGGGGGTCACTGTCTGATCCTGTTAAACAGATCAACGGTGCTCTGACGTCACTGACTTGACCTTTTTGAGCCAGGAGAGGTAGATGTGTCCACCTCATGGATTATTCTAACACTGTGTGTCCCCAGGTGAACAGATAACTCGCACTTATATTTTTCACAGAAGAGTAATTTCACTTTGATTTAAAAAATAAAATTTCTGGATTTCTGTCATTATTCATAATTACAGTTTCTGTATTTTGAGGATCAAAAAAATGAAATACAGCCACCCAAAACCAATGAAGATCAATCTAACGTCATATTAAAGCTGGATGATATAAAAAGGACTGAACTAAATGTATAAATATCCATGGAAAAGAGTAAGACCGATACCTCTCATCTTTTAGTATGCAGTAATCTCGAGATTCTGTAGCACAGAAACGCAAGAATAATTTTTCTAGTCCTATTGATGGATCATCTAACTGGTTGATTGTCCATTCATTAAATTCTCTTGTGCATGTAATCTCACTCCACATGATGTCATTTCCTCTGTGCAGATATTTGATGTAGGGGAAAGTATGTTGGTCCCTGATGAGTTTACGGCAGAGGAGAAGAAAACGGGGATGTTGTGGCGACACCTGGTAGCAGGAGGTGGAGCTGGTGCAGTGTCCCGTACCTGCACCGCACCCCTGGACCGCCTTAAGGTTCTCATGCAGGTATGAGACCCCCTGACGCTACCTGTACAGAACTTATAGCACACATCATATGATCAATGAATAATACACAGTTAAGTTTGGAAACCTACATTATATATTTTTAGATTTATATTATATTAGGGTAGACATATATTACTTTATACAATTATATTTTATACATTATTAAGACGCATGTTATTTATATGTGAAATATTTTTACAGGTTAAAATAACTTTATTCTATTTGAATATTCAAAATGTAGTTTATTCCTGTGATGGCAAAGCTCAATTTTCAGCAGCCATTACTCCAGTCTTCAGTGTCACATGATCCTTCATGCTGATTTGGTGCTCAAGTAACATTTCTTATTAACATTATTAATGTCTAAATTGACACTTTTGATCAAGTTCACGTCACAGCATTTGTTTCATGAGAACCATCTAGGCTTGTGAGCTAAAATCCTAGTGTTAGTGAGATCCCATGTCACCAGTGTGCTGCTTATGAAGGGACTACATCTTCGATTGCTTTAGGGACACTGCTACTGTAGTAAGTGTACTGTTGAGTCACTATGGTACATGATGTTCTGTTCTTTGGATGAGTGCCTTGGTGGATGACCATGCACATTATGAAATGCCTTAGTGAGGCTAGTTTCAGTTTGGTGGATCTTAAAATTCTCCATTTTTAAATTCTTCAGTGTATGACTGTATAAGACTATACAGGACATTGTAGCTTAGCTACCCTTAAAGCTTACCTTACCTGAAGTAAACTTACATTTAAAATGCTTAAATGAAATAATTTACAAGCAAATTGAGACATTTCACCACTGCAATGGTGTTGGCAGGTTCATGCGTCACGCAGCAACTCCATGGGCATCGCCGGAGGATTCACCCAAATGATCCGTGAGGGTGGACTTCGGTCGCTGTGGCGAGGGAATGGTATCAACGTTTTGAAGATCGCGCCTGAATCTGCTATCAAGTTCATGGCGTATGAGCAGGTAGCTTGTTGTTGTTATCTCTTGTTATCTTTCGGCAATTACAAAATCGGAGAACTATAATCCTGGATGTTTAAAATAATGCAATGGTAAATATATTTTTCCACAATGTTTAAAAAAAACTTTTGAAGAAACGGATGCTTTTCTTTTGCTGATCTTTTTATGTGATTAAATAAACTTTTTTAAACCTTTAAACCGGACACCTCCCACACGAAAAAAATCATAATCAAATTACTAAGCAACCCCTGAATGGAATAACACGAAATAGGTATCATTTTAAAGGTTAGAATCTCAGCTTTTTAAAGAATGTAATTATTTTGATCAACTCTTAACGAGCGCTGAGCAGTCCCTCTAAAACGAAGTGTACCGCGGGCGGGGCGCCCCCCCTTTGTGAAAATATTACTAATCATATTTTTCAAACCACTGCCTTGATCAACAAAAAATGGATATCATTTGAAAATCTGAGCTTTACAATGCATGTAGCCACTTTGATTAACTCCAAAGTAGTGCCGAGTTATTTGCTGATAAATGACCAAAAAAAAAATTTCATAATTTACAAAATATGTTTTTTGTGCCATGTACTCTAATATGTTAGAAACATCATACAGCTCAGATAGTCATGTGTCATATGTCGTTTGAAAGGTCTCATGGGGTAGAATAAAACAAGCATAATTGTTTGGGGCTTTGAATAAACCTGAGTGAGGCATTACTTCAAATTCAAAACAACTATTTCAAAACTGTAAAGGGCTAAGAGGCGGGCTACCTTGGTTCCAAATGCTGTAACTTTTGATTACTCGAAGATCAATCTAACGTCATATTAAAGCTGGATGATATAAAAAGGACTGAACTAAATGTATAAATATCCATGGAAAAGAGTAAGACCGATACCTCTCATCTTTTAGTATGCAGTAATCTCGAGATTCTGTAGCACAGAAACGCAAGAATAATTTTTCTAGTCCTATTGATGGATCATCTAACTGGTTGATTGTCCATTCATTAAATTCTCTTGTGCATGTAATCTCACTCCACATGATGTCATTTCCTCTGTGCAGATATTTGATGTAGGGGAAAGTATGTTGGTCCCTGATGAGTTTACGGCAGAGGAGAAGAAAACGGGGATGTTGTGGCGACACCTGGTAGCAGGAGGTGGAGCTGGTGCTGTGTCCCGTACCTGCACCGCACCCCTGGACCGCCTTAAGGTTCTCATGCAGGTATGAGACCCCCTGACGCTACCTGTACAGAACTTATAGCACACATCATATGATCAATGAATAATACACAGTTAAGTTTGGAAACCTACATTATATATTTTTAGATTTATATTATATTAGGGTAGACATATATTACTTTATACAATTATATTTTATACATTATTAAGACGCATGTTATTTATATGTGAAATATTTTTACAGGTTAAAATAACTTTATTCTATTTGAATATTCAAAATGTAGTTTATTCCTGTGATGGCAAAGCTCAATTTTCAGCAGCCATTACTCCAGTCTTCAGTGTCACATGATCCTTCATGCTGATTTGGTGCTCAAGTAACATTTCTTATTAACATTATTAATGTCTAAATTGACACTTTTGATCAAGTTCACGTCACAGCATTTGTTTCATGAGAACCATCTAGGCTTGTGAGCTAAAATCCTAGTGTTAGTGAGATCCCATGTCACCAGTGTGCTGCTTATGAAGGGACTACATCTTCGATTGCTTTAGGGACACTGCTACTGTAGTAAGTGTACTGTTGAGTCACTATGGTACATGATGTTCTGTTCTTTGGATGAGTGCCTTGGTGGATGACCATGCACATTATGAAATGCCTTAGTGAGGCTAGTTTCAGTTTGGTGGATCTTAAAATTCTCCATTTTTAAATTCTTCAGTGTATGACTGTATAAGACTATACAGGACATTGTAGCTTAGCTACCCTTAAAGCTTACCTTACCTGAAGTAAACTTACATTTAAAATGCTTAAATGAAATAATTTACAAGCAAATTGAGACATTTCACCACTGCAATGGTGTTGGCAGGTTCATGCGTCACGCAGCAACTCCATGGGCATCGCCGGAGGATTCACCCAAATGATCCGTGAGGGTGGACTTCGGTCGCTGTGGCGAGGGAATGGTATCAACGTTTTGAAGATCGCGCCTGAATCTGCTATCAAGTTCATGGCGTATGAGCAGGTAGCTTGTTGTTGTTATCTCTTGCTATCTTTCGGCAATTACAAAATCGGAGAACTATAATCCTGGATGTTTAAAATAATGCAATGGTAATATATTTTTCCACAATGTTTAAAAAAAACTTTTGAAGAAACGGATGCTTTTCTTTTGCTGATCTTTTTATGTGATTAAATAAACTTTTTTAAACCTTTAAACCGGACACCTCCCACACGAAAAAAATCATAATCAAATTACTAAGCAACCCCTGAATGGAATAACACGAAATAGGTATCATTTTAAAGGTTAGAATCTCAGCTTTTTAAAGAATGTAATTATTTTGATCAACTCTTAACGAGCGCTGAGCAGTCCCTCTAAAACGAAGTGTACCGCGGGCGGGGCGCCCCCCCTTTGTGAAAATATTACTAATCATATTTTTCAAACCACTGCCTTGATCAACAAAAAATGGATATCATTTGAAAATCTGAGCTTTACAATGCATGTAGCCACTTTGATTAACTCCAAAGTAGTGCCGAGTTATTTGCTGATAAATGACCAAAAAAAAAATTTCATAATTTACAAAATATGTTTTTTGTGCCATGTACTCTAATATGTTAGAAACATCATACAGCTCAGATAGTCATGTGTCATATGTCGTTTGAAAGGTCTCATGGGGTAGAATAAAACAAGCATAATTGTTTGGGGCTTTGAATAAACCTGAGTGAGGCATTACTTCAAATTCAAAACAACTATTTCAAAACTGTAAAGGGCTAAGAGGCGGGCTACCTTGGTTCCAAATGCTGTAACTTTTGATTACGTCATGATATCACCACAAAATTCACATACAGCACACATGTTGGGGAACATCACCAAAAAAGAATTTTCCTTCTACCTTATTTCTGTCCTGAGATATTGATATTGACTCGAACTTTTTCTTACATTTTTATCAGCTATTTCTCAGCAGGAGAATGTCCAAATGAAATATTTCTTTCCACTGAAAGTACAGAACATTTCCTATCAAACGATACCAACCTTTTGACTCTCCTTGCTACAGTCTTCAAGTTATGAGTCATTATTTTTGTGCATGTCACTCAGAAAAAACATCAGCTTCAGTGAAGCAAAAATGCCCTCATGACTAATGAACATCATACCATTATCTGGCTTAAAACCTTTGGAGGGAGAGAAAAACCTTGCTTTTTTTTCTCTCTTTGATATTTTTGTCTGTGAGCTCTAAAGCTCATTTGCCCTGTTCTTCAGATTAAGCGGCTGATTGGCAGCAATCAGGAGACGTTGGGAATCCTGGAGAGGCTGGTTTCTGGGTCTCTAGCAGGAGCTATTGCTCAGAGCAGCATCTACCCCATGGAGGTAAGAGCATAAACTGTCATTTAGGAATAAAGTTTGAGCACTGTTTTGAGTAAACAAAAGCTTTCATTTCATTTCAAGAATAATTATTAAACAAGCTATGACTAGACCTTCCATGCATTCTTTGTATCATGTTCTGTAATGTACAAATTTTAAAAAACTATGTTTCCAGGGTTTTTAATTATTAACTGCCATCGCAGAAACTGAAACCTAACCAAGCTGATGATGACTTTCTAAAGCATTGCTTTGTTTAGATCTCTTGGAGCTTAAACAAAGCTTTTTGTGTGTTTAAGGTTTTAAAAACTCGTCTTGCCCTGGGAAGGACGGGTCAGTACTCTGGTATGAAGGTCTGTGCTAAACATATATTTAAGAAGGAGGGACTGAAAGCCTTCTATAAAGGTTATATTCCCAATATGTTGGGAATCATCCCTTATGCGGGAATAGACCTGGCTGTTTATGAGGTAAGTTTTTACACAGTAAAACAAAAAGATTATATATTTGTCAGTGGCAACTAATTGAAATAAAATAATTTTAAGTTAAAGTAAAAATGTATGTAGTTATTACTAGTGCTGTCAAACGATTAATCGCATCCAAAATAAAAGTTTTTGTTTACTTAATATATGTACAGTGGGGAAAATAATTATTTGATCCCCTACTGATTTTGTAAGTTTGACCACTTACAAAAAAATTAAAGGTCTATAATTTTTATGGTAGGTTTATTTTAATGGATAGAGACAGAATATCAACAAAAAAATCCAGAAAAACACGTTATTTAGAGAGAGTCTTTAAAGAGGAGTGGAACAAAATCCCTCCTGAGATGTGTGCAAACCTGGTGACCAACTACAAGACACGTCTTACCTCTGTGCTTGCCAACAAGAGTTTCTCCACCAAGTTTTGCTTGGGGATCAAATACTTATTTGACTCACTGAAATGCAAATCAATTTATAACCTTTGAACAGCGTTTTTTTTTCTGGATTTTTTGCTTGATATTCTCTCTCTATCCGTTAAAATAAACCTACCATAAAAATTATAGACCCTTCATTTCTTTGTAAGTGGGCAAACTTACAAAATCAGTAGGGGATCAAATAATTATTTTCCCCACTGTATAT